TTATTAAAATTATTCCTGTATCTCCCTCCATACTGCTGTTTTGCTGGATCTGTGGCACTCATTAAAATATTTCACATCCTTACATCAGCCTCCCATATTTGTTCATCCAATTTTCACAAAGGCCATTCTTTGATTTTATATAACGGCATTTAAGACCTTTTCACATTGTTGACCTATATTTGTCTGCCAAGGTATTTCGGTCAGTGGAGCATCTAAAAAATGGGAAAAGGCTATTAATTGTTAGCACCATGTTTAGGGAAGTTCTCGCTCATCCCCCCCCCTTTACCATCTTACCCATGACTCCCATGTAGGTAAGTTCATTCACGTAACAAAATGTTAAAGCAGCCTAGAGCTACAGCATGGGCCTGCATTAATCAGGCTATACAACGGGTTCATTGTTGATGTGTGTGTGTGTGGTTTTTTAAGGAATCTATTTTTCATGGTCTGTATTGTATTACACCATTTGTTCTATGCAAGAACAAGAGTGAAGGAAGGCAAAAATGAGCTAACTCTAAGGCTGTAATACTAAGGTGATCAGACTCCTTGGGAAAGGGTCCCTTTTAAAGGGTTTTAACCTTTAATTCTAGGAGTTCTAGAACTTTGATGTCTTCTGCTGAGGGCCAGTCAAGAAATTTTGGTGCCTGAGGCAGAGCAGCAAATGGCACTCCTTGTCAAGCCACCTGGATTGTACCCAAGGCTAGTCAAGTTCTTTTGGCAGAAAAGCCCGCAAGTGCCTAAGCACAGGCACAATGAATAGTGATGATGAATTAAACAGCTAGCACCTTGCTGCCCTTCCATGACCATCCAAATCGGCTGCCTGAGGCGGCTGCCTCACTCTGTTCAATATTGGGCCAGCCCTGTGTCTGATCCCTTTGGGGTAGGCACCTATATGATGAGATGGATGCCATTGGGAGAAGATGCAGCTATCTGCAGTGTGGTGTCGTGGTTAAGAGCGGTAGACTCGTAATCTGGGGAACCGGGTTCGCGTCTCCGCTCCTCCACATGCAGCTGCTGGGTGACCTTGGGCCAGTCACACTTCTTTGAAGTCTCTCAGCCTCACTCACCTCACAGAGTGTTTGTTGTGGGGGAGGAAGGGAAAGGAGAATGTTAGCCGCTTTGAAACTCCTTCGGGTAGTGATAAAGCGGGATATCAAATCCAAACACCTCCTCTTCTTCTTCTTCTGCCCCACAACACCAGCAGAAAAGAAGGTAACTGAAAGTATAGAGATCCATAGCAACAAGGCCAGTACCACCAGCAGCTGGAACTTCCAGGAGCCTGGGGGGAAAGAGGACTCGTCCTCCCCAGCAATTTCCTCTTTACTGCTGTTAGTCTCCTTCGGAGAAATGATGAGTCTAGGGCTAGATCTAGACACATCAAAAAGGCGTTTCAGGAAAACTCGTTCTAAACTTCATAAAAGGAAATCACGTTGGCGAAAGACGGGACTCCATTGTGATATAACGCATATAAAGCACTTTTTCTTTGCCGATGTAGCTGAGTCCTCGGTGATTTCTAGACTTCTGAACAGGCTCTGCAGTACATTTAGGCCAGGCTGCTGAGTCTCTGTGCATCTGGAATTATTTTGTCTGTTAACTTTCCTCTTGCTCTGTATTTATATGTATTTAAGTCTAGATTATTTCTTTTGCGAGTGGGATGCAGGTGGCGCTATTGTCTAAATTAATGAGCCTCTTGGGCTTGCCGATCAGAAGGTTGGTGGTTTGAATCCGTGCGACAGGGTGAGCTCCCGTTTCTCTGTCCCAGCTCCTGCCAACCTAGTAGTTTGAAAGCATGCCAGTGCAAGTAGATAGGTACCACTGTGGTGGGAAAGTAAACAGTGTTTCCGTGTGCTCTGGCTTCTGTCACAGTGTCCCATTGCACCAGAAGCAGTTTAGTCATGCTGGCCACGTGACCTGGAAAGCTGTCTGTGGACAAATGCCGGCTCCCTCAGCCTGAAATCGAGATGAGCGCCACAACCCCATAGTCGCCTTTGACTGGACTTAACCGTCCAGGGGTCCTTTACCTTTACCTTATTTCTTTTGCCATACCAAATTTATCATCTGTTTAGTAACTTGTTGGTTTTTGTCTCATTTGAATTTATTGATATGTTTTGTCAACTGTTTTCTTCCCCTCCCCACCCCCAAATGCTGAATTCTCCCATGTTAAGAGAACTGTATAGCTCCTCTACTCTATACCTGATTCATGTCAGCAAATTAATTGTTTTAAGATGGAGCGCCACCTAGGGGCTGTTGCTGCTAGAGCGATGCTTTTGAAAGCAAAGCAATTCCAGTGTATAAAGAAAGGATGCATGGGAGAATTCAAAATTATTGTGAACCGATGGCATTTGGTTTTTAATTAGGTAGTCCAAGGGAATAAATGGGCTATTGCTTAAAAGTGTTTGGCTTGTTACTGTGGTTAATTCACTTGCAAATCGGCGAAAAGTAACTGCAGGGTTCCTTCCCAATAAACTTTGCATGTGAGTTGCATTTTTTTTGGAAATATCACATTCAATTCACAGTTTGCCCCAATGCAGAACCCGTGTGCACAGTGATATACACAGTGATTTTGGGTGCTCCTGGCTCTCCTCCTTCAAGGGAATGGAAAAGGTATGAATAAAAATTAAATAAAATGATTATGTTTAGTACAGAGAAGAAGAGGCATGAAAGAGGTGCCCAGGAATTCCATGTGCACACATTATTCTACATGTGCACTGCCTGTGCATGCTATCCAACAAACTACTTCTCATTTCCACTGAAGTCTGTCCTTGTCAGGGCTGGACGACATTTAAAGTTTGCAGGAGACTGCGCTGAGCCTCTCAAAGCCAGCATTCACATTTAGGCTGTATAACACGGAGACACGGGCAAAGGTTACAGTACAGCTTCCCTGCATTGCAACGCCTATCTGATTCCCCTTTCCTTTTCAGCCAGGCTGGCTAAACTCAAATTTCACATCAATTCCACAATAAAAGCAAACCCAGAAACTCAACCTGCTGTGAACCAGCAGTGTGGCTCCTTACCAAGCCACTTAAACAAAGAGCTCCTTTTCAAACGTCTTCCGCTATCCATAATGCATGTTACCATAAAATGTCCAGGTTGCTAATTCGCTTGGATGAAAGCATCTACCTGGAGGAAAGGCTTATTTCTGCAATTGTTCTAGATCTACATAAAATATGCACAGGGAAGCAAGATTATAAATGCATATTCATACTTTTGTTTCAGGATTGGGAACCCAGAAGACTTAATGCTATAAAAAAATGACCTTTCGGTCTTTTTCACAGTAGCAATGGCGGTTTGTGATATCCCTTTATTATAAAAATTAGAATTTTTTTTAAAAAAATCTGTGGCTTCGAGTTCTGTTTAACTCTTTTGTGTGCATCTTTAAAAGGTATTCGTGAAATATCTGATTTCAGGGATTAGTGCAGCCTTCATTACTATGCATAAAAAACGAGATGAAATACCACGTTTTTGGCAGCTGTTTCCACTGGATAAGCATCCCCTCACCCAGCTTGATTTAACATTTTGTTACTGCAGCTTTACGTTGCACATTTGATTTAGTACCGGCAGAATTATGCTGGAAGAACGGCAATGGAAAGACAGGGCTATAGAAGAAAGAATCTGGCAACTCCCGATTACTGATCCTCTTGAAATCACGGATTTGGCTGCCTACGAGGGCCCAATTAGGGTCTTTCATCCTAATCCTTATCTCCAAATCAGGAGCAGCTGCTGCAGAGCTCCTATTTAGTTTATTTATTTCAGAAAACCTATCTCCCGCCCTTCTGATGCATTTGCATCACTCGGGGACGCATGCAGCAATAACAATTCTAATATATACATAAATTGAGACAGGCTCAGCAGCCGAAAACATTCCAAAATGGGGGTTGGTGTCCGTTTATGTCACTTTCTCAGTACCCTGCCTTATCCTTTCCATAAGGCAGAAATCTTTTCCCCACTGGCACCATGACTGTGTTGAAAGTACTGTACAAAAGTGCAGAGCAGCAGCTTTTTTTTTAAAGATATTTATTGAAATTTTGAATAATACAACAAACTTACAATCAACCAGAAAAAGAAAAACATTATCACAGTCAAACAAAAACAGAAAAATACAACAAAAAACATAAAAAAGGTAAATAGAAGAAAAACATAAGAAAAAACATGAAAATCCAGTTTTCTACTTATTTTTATAACCTTCTTTCCTGACTTCCTCACACCTCCCTTTTCTGTGTTCCCTTTTACACACTCATATTCAGCAGTACCTTACCTTCTTTCAAATCTTATTCTATATTATACTTTTCGACCTATTATGTCTCCAATTTTTCCTTTCCTTTTAAGTCCATTTTTACCTGTTCTTTATAACTTAATCCCTTTGTATCATTTGGTTTGAATTTGACATAATATAATTCAATTTTTTTTCACCCTTATTCTTTTAAAACATTTTTTACATATTCCTTTCAACTATGTCACTGATGCCATATTATCTTTATAGCCTGTGCATCATTTTAGCATTCAAACATTTTGCAATGTTTTTGCAGGTAGTCTTTGAACTTCTTCCAATCCTCTTCTACTAACTCTTCTCCCAGGTCTCGGATTCTGCCAGTCATTTCTGCCAATTCCATGTAGTCTATCACTTGCATCTGCCATTCTTCCAGGGTGGGCAAATCTTGTGTCTTCCAGTACTTTGCGATGAGTATTCTTGCTGCTGTTGTTGCATACATAAAAAAAGTTCTGTCCTTCTTTAGCACCAATTGGCCGACAATGCCCAAAAGGAAGGCCTCTGGTTTCTTAAGAAAGGTATATTTAAATACCTTTTTCAGTTCATTATAGATCATTTCCCAGAAAGCCTTGACCTTTGGGCACGTCCACCAAAGGTGAAAGAATGTTCCCTCAGTTTCTCTACATTTCCAACATTTATTATCAGGCAAATGATATACTTTTGCAAGCTTGACTGGTGTCATGTACCACCTATATATCATTTTCATAATATTTTCTTTTAAGGCATTACATGCCGTAAATTTCACACCAGTGGTCCATAACTGTTCCCAGTCAGCAAACATAATGTTATAACCAATGTCTTGCGCCCACTTAATCATAAAAGTGCAGAGCAGCTTCTAAATGCCTGTAGTGTGGAAACATAACAGCCCAATGCTGTTTTACACGGCAGCTGTGTGAAGGAAATGACAGCAATGCCCATAGAGTTGAGGGCCAAGATGAACAGGAGAGGACAACGTGGTAGGGAGCAGCACATTCTGGGTCCCCTTTCTACCTTCTATAGCGAAAGGGACCAATCCGGAGCCTAGCACACCCCAGTTTATAATTTCTTCCTGAGCCGTTGGATCAGATCTGTGGAATGCCTGTAGGCCTACTAATTCTTTCCTGCTCTAGTGCGCTGCATCTTTTCCTTCTATCAGATGTTTATCCATGGATCATGATGAATGGAAATCAACTGGAGAAGACCAGACTCTGAAGGGGCGTTGAGGAACAGAAAGGCTAGCTCCTGCTGCTCCTGCAAAGAAAGGATATGTAAGTAAGGCATCAATCTTTGGAGGCAACTGCAGTGAACGCCATTACAAAATCCCAACTTTAGAGTATGATTGCAACTTTGGAATGGGTTCAGGCTGCAAGGTTCAGCCTTGGTGAATCCAGAGGTCAGGTGTCATTTTCCTATGTAAAGGTAAAGGTACCCCTGCCCGAAGGCCAGTTGTGTCCGACTCTAGGGTTGTGCGCTCATCTCACTCTAGAGGCCGGGAGCCGGCGCCGTCCGAGGACACTTCCGGGTCACGTGGCCAGCGTGACGAAGCTGCTCTGGCGAGCCTGCACCAGCACAGCACACGGGAACTCCGTTTACCTTCCCGCTATAAAGCGGTCCCTATTTATCTACTTGCACTTAAGGGTGCTTTCGAACTGCTAGGTGGGCAGGAGCTGGGACCGAACGACGGGAGCTCACCCCGCCGCAGGGATTCGAACCGCCAGCCATACGATCAGCAAGTCCTAGGCACTGCAGTTTTACCCACTGCGCCATGAGTAACAAGTAAAGGAGGAATGGTTAAGACCAAAGGGGTTTGGGGCCATTGCACTGGAGTACCTCTGCTACCTGTTGTTTTTTTAAAAAAAAATTGTTTATTGAGGTTTTCAACTAAGTACGGACAGAACAGATAATGTAAGAAAACAGTAACATAAACATGCATATGAACTGAAATATAAATTAACATAAACATTTCTTTTGCAGGTCGCAACATGGAAGATAACCAAAGTGGGTATTGATGGAGAGGAGTCCATCAAAGTACTGTATTTTTCGCTCTATAAGATGCACCAGACCACAAGAGGAGGAAAACAAGAAAAAAAATATTTTGAATCTCAGAAACCAGAACAGCAAGAGGTGAAAGCAACAATCCCTCTTGCTGTTCTGGCTTCTGGGATAGCTGCGCAGCCTGCATTTGCTCCATAAGACGCGCACAGATTTCCCCTTACTTTTTAGGAGGGAAAAAGTGAGTCTTATAGAGCAAAAAATATGGTATGTATTTCAAAAAGCACCTCCGCTAACTGTTATAGAGGCTCATATTTAATTCCATGCACAGTGCCACAAACCTATGTATAACTGACTGTTAGAAATGCATTCTGCCCCCCTTAAATGGAGACTGCCTTATTTCTTTATGTCATATACTAAATGCATACATTCCTTGTTGGAAAATGTCTGAAATGTGGAAGTAATTTGAATGCGTGGGGGGGGGATGCTTGAAAATGAAACGTAAACTGCATTCTAAAATTTGGCTTTAATTAGCACACTGCAGATTAACAGTGGCAATTTGAAATTATCTCTCCAAATCAAGGCTGTTTCCATAGCGATGGCTGATTCCCAAGACCTGCTGTGTCAATTTGTCATGAGCAGCCAAAGGCAAGAGGGAAATGCTAGGCTCTCTCAGGCCACAGCAAAGGCTACCCAGATCTATCCAAAATGCTTGATCGCTCTGCAAGTACTTGCCTCTATCTAGAGCTTTGTCCCATAAGAGCAGAGCCTGCCCAAGACATTTTGGCACCTGAGGCGAATCACAGAATGACACCCCCCTCACCCTGCCACCAGGGAAAAAGGGGTGAGTGAAGATCTACACCAGGAACAAGGAGGATATAAAGATCTACTTTGAGAACAGGAAGGAGGAGAGACCAGCAGTGCCTCCTGTTTGTCAAGAGGCCACTGTACAGGTGGGATGGCAGTGCTGCCTAGGAGGCGGCAGGTGGCAGATCTATCCTCCAAGATACACATCACAGCTGTTGCTGTTGGGATCTCAAATTTCAGCAGCGCCTTGTGTGGCACCAGAATCTGGCACCCCCCTCACCTTCTGTGGACTGTCTTGCCAGAGTGGTGGATGCTCTGGTTATCTCCCGCTTGGACTACGGCAATGCGTTCTACGTCGGACTACCTTTGAAGGTGACCTGGAAACTACAACTAATCCAGAAGGCGGCAGCTGGACTGGTGACTGGGAGCGGCCGCCGAGACCACATAACACCGGTCCTGAAAGACCTACGTTGGCTCCTAGTATGTTTCCGGGCACAATTCAAAGTGTTGGTGCTGACCTTTAAAGCCCTAAACGGCCTTGGCCCAGTATACCTGAAGGAGCGTCTCCACCCCCATCGTTCAGCCCAGACACTGAGGTCCAGCTCCGAGGGTCTTCTGGTGGTTCCCTCACTGTGAGAAGTGAGGTTACAGGAAACCAGGCAAGGCCCTTCTTGGTAGTGGTGCCCGCCCTGTGGAACACCCTCCCATCAGATGTCAAAGAAATAAATAACTATCTGACTTTCGGAAGGCATCTTAAGGCAGCCCTGTTTAGGGAAGTTTTTAATATCTGATGAATTATTGTATTATAGTATTTTGCTGGAAGCCACCCAGAGTGGCTGGGGAAACCCAGCCAGATGGGTGGGGCATTTATTATTATTAATAATAATAATTAAATTGTACAAAATAGTTGCAGCACGCTCTAGACTCTGCACCCAGTGTAATTTGGGGTCAAGAGCCCCTAAGTCTGCCTCTGATCAGTGAAAGGCAAGGGTGCCTCCACAGCTGTTGCCCTGCTCAACATACTGATGAACCTCAGGTATGTTTTAAATCGCCCAGGTGGGAGTTGGATGTGCATACAGCAAAAGGGATGGGGGGGGGTAAGGAGCCCTTTCGATGATTTGCTATGTTTAATGGGATGGTGAAGGTATAATGCGGTCATGGAATTATAGAGTTGGGAGGGACCTGCACCAAGGGCCATCTACTCCACCCCACTGCAATGCAGGGATCTCAACTAAAGCATCCATGACAGATGACCATCCAGCCTCTGCTTTGTGTTGTTTAGTCGTTTAGTCGTGTCCGACTCTTCGTGACCTATGGACCAGAGCACGCCAGGCACTCCTGTCTTCCACTGCCTCCCGCAGTTTGGTCAAACCCATGTTCGTAGCTTCGAGAACACTATCCAACCATCTCATCCTCTTTCGTCCCCTTCTCCTTGTGCCCTCCATCTTTCCCAACATCAGGGTCTTTTCCAGGGAGTCTTCTCTTCTCATGAGGTGGCCAAAGTATTGGAGCCTCAGCTTCAGGATCTGTCCTTCTAGTGAGCACTCAGGGCTGATTTCCTTAAGAAGGGATAGGTTTGGTCTTCTTGCAGTCCATGGGACTCACCAGAGTCTCCTCCAGCACCATAATTCAAAAGCATCAATTCTTCGGCCTTCTTCATGGTCCAGACCATCCAGCCTCTGCTTAGAACCCTCCAAAGGGTCTTGCTAATGGAAAGGAGGGTCGTTTTAAGAGTTGTGGGGGAGATCATTCTGACAAGAGGCGGCACCTGCTGCAATGCTCCCTTCTACACAACTCTTAAAAGGCACGCCCCTGTTTTCCTTTGCACCAGGTTGCCTCAGTGCTGCTTATTCAGACAGAAGCATTTTAATGCCATGAGGCAAGTCAGCTAAAACAGAGACCTCAGGAAGACAGTGTGCTGGAAGATGAACAGCCACCGCAGTGATGTAGCTCTCTCCTGCAGAGATTGACGTCCGGGCTTAACCAGCCAACAGAACCACTGCCACCAACATTTCTCCTGATGTAGGTTCAGCTGTCAGGTATTCTTTATCCTAAAGGGTGCCCATTATTTCCAAAGGTTGCCTACTTCAGAACACTGCAAGCCCCCAGAGGACTATACTCTGGGTGACAAGGAGCCAAAGGAAGTTAGGACACTATGCGAGAGCAGTAACTTGGAACCAGAAACCATGTGGCATAGCAAGCACTCCCTCTAGTGGAAATAAAAATGCAGACAAGTTCCACAGCCCCTTGTTAACTTACCCATATGATTCACAAATGACTTATAGGCTGTATGGAGAAAATAAGGAATCACTAAGCTCTTTTAAGTATGCAGAAATACTAACAGAGCACATAGTCGCCAGCTTTCTAAAGCAGGCATAGGCAAACTCGGCCCTCCAAATGTTTGGGACTACAACTCCCATCATCCCTAGCTAACAGGACCACTGGTCAGGGATCATAGATCCTATGGCCTGGGCAGGCCTCTTTTATACCCGCTGCTGGGATTGACAAAGCTGCCTCTGATTGGTTGACAAGGCATTCTCTGATTGACAAGGCATCTGACCCTCACCAATGAAACAACTCCTAGCTCTTGATTTGACTTTTCTTCTTCTCTTTGTATGGTGGTAATTATAAGCTGTTTTCACCCTCCCCTTGGATTTAGAAATGTAAAACCACCTATTGGTAGACAACCAATCTGCAAATAATTTGGCAACACTGATGGGGCAGCCCTCAACGCCCAGCTCTTCTTTGAAGAAGCGGACAAGTAATTCACATACCCCACCCCAACACTTCAAGAGCCTCCAAGGTGCAAATTCGTGGCGCCCCTTGTTTTCTCCTACTTCAGAGGACCCAAACCAGTGGCTTCAAGATATGATAGGAGATTCCAACTAAACCTCATTGCAGGGGAGTGGACCCAATGACCCTTGGGATCCCTTCCAACACTACTATTCTATTCTAGTCATTCTTTGCATAGTGGTCAGAGCGTTCTGGGTCCAAATCCCCACGTAGCCATGAAGTCACACTCACTCAGTATCTCTTAGGACTGTTGTGAGGATAAAATGGGGAAACTGCCTTTTGCTCCAGGGAGGAAAGGTGCTTGGGGGAGGAGGGAGGGAGAACACACACAGGTGAAACAGATGGACCAGATGCCGGACAGATGAGCTAACCCAGAAATAGTACCTCGGGTTAAGAACTTTGCTTCAGGATGAGAACAGAAATTGCGTGGCAGCAGGAGGCCCCATTAGCTAAAGTGGTGCTTCAGGTTAAGAACAGTTTCAGATTAAGAACGGACCTCCGGAATGAATTAAGTACTTAACCCGAGGTACCACTGTACTGGTTTTTCAGGACTGTTCTTTTCACCCCCAAACATTTATTTACCTGAACAATGCAGGCTCAGTAATTCTCTGCCAGGGGAGTGTGATCAGGTGGAGTGTGTTGCTTCTCAAAGGAAAAAAAAGTGGGGAATTGAGAGACAGCAACAGTGGGGAAAGTGTCTTGTCCATCCTTGGCACTGTAGATGTCATTCATATGCCTGGGTAAAGTTCCAGTGTCTTTACCTGACATTCTCTTATGAGCTTTGTGTAATTCCATCCACAACATCAAGGTTTTTTCCTGCTACCTTCCTCTCGCTGTTGGTACCAAACAGGCCAGCCTAATCACCTGCTGTTAGGACCTTCATTCTTGGTGCGTATTCTTCTTGGAGGAAAAGCCACGTCGGGGTAGCAAGCTGTCAAGGGAATTAAAAATAATCTTCATTAGCAGCATAACTGCTTGCCCTTGCATTCCTTGCGGTGAGGGAGAAGAGAGTCCCTGGGAGCAAAGAGGAAAAAGGATGCTTGCATAGATGATATACACTTGTGTGCTGCTAACACAACTGCGTCCCTTAGCTTGCAGGGGTTGCATTTGTGCCGACTGCTAAATAACATGGTGTGATTGCATGATATTTCCGTACTGTGAAAAGTGGCAGAATACGGTGCAATTATAACTACTTTAGTTGGTAATTGACAGCCTGTGAAAGGGACTGAGGGGGAGGGAGGGAAGTCCCCTCTCCCGCACAGTGACAAGAGCCTTGAAAAGGTAATTGTGGCTTCTCTTTAGAGGTTATTCAGGTTACAGCGTGGTCATAAGCAGGCAAAGTATCACAAGGAAGAAAAACAGCACGGCTTGCACACACAGATCCTTAATAAATGAAAGATGGAGGAGCGATACTTACCGTATGCTGCTGCTTTTAAACAGCATTAAAGAGCTGTGCTTTGTGCAAACAACAACATCCCCGCCATCCGCCTCTGAACAGTCAAAGGTAGTGCATTTTGTTGTGTTTCATTCCTCAAAAGATATTCCGCAGAACCCCACGTAGGAATTTGGGGCACAATTAAAGCAAGCAAAAAATAAAAGGCGAAGCAGAGCTTGCTCAAATGTCACTGCTGTTCAAAGCTAATAGTGAAAATTGCAGCTAAGATACAGTAGGCAGCGAGAGCTAGGCACAGTTACAGTGGTACCTCGGGTTAAGAACTTAATTCGTTCTGGAGGTCTGTTCTTAACCTGAAACTGTTCTTAACCTGAAGCACCACTTTAGCTAATGGGGCCTCCTGCTGCTGCCACCACCGTCCGATTTCTGTTCTCACCCTGAAGCAAAGTTCTTAACCCGAGGTACTATTTCTGGGTTAGCGGAGTCTGTAACCTGAAGCGTCTGTAACCCGAGGTACCACTGTATTTGGCTGACTGATTGCAGTAGCAACTGCAGCTGTGTTGTCATCTGTGAGAACAAGAAGGAAGGAAACAGGCCCAGGACAGCAAAGCAAAGGAAGGACCAGGGTTGGGGAACCTCAGGCAGCGTCTCAAATTAGTGTCTCAAATTTCAGTGGCACCCGGTGCAACGCCAAAATCCGTCCCTGCCTCTCGCCTCCGTTGGATGTCATAGCTGCAGTGCTCCAGAAGCTCTGTGCCCGATGCAACTGCACCGATCCTGCTCCTATAGATCTGACTTTGCCTCAGGCCTGGGGGGGGGGCCTCTTTCCCTGCCCCTCAGAAATCTGCCGAGGGCACGCCCCCTCTCAAGCCACACCTCTGGCCAGTCCTGTTTTGTCCCCTCGCTCAGTGTTTTCGCCTGGCTAAAATGTGCCTTGAAATCTAATAAAGCTTTTTTGCCTGCCTGGATGGAGGGTGACGAGCGGGATGTGTGAGTGTGAAGAAGCTAGCCTTCTATAGAAAAGTAGAATTCGGATGTATTGCCCCTCCCCCTTTTGCCTCTGGCCACACCCACCACTGGTATGCGGCCCCCGGGAGGTTGCGCAGAAGGAAACATGGCTCTTGGTTCCTCACCTCTGGGGAACAAGGCGTGGCAAACCTGGAGCGCTGGCTCCCAAGTGGCCAGACTCACTACTAGGGATGGGTGAATTCCTCAATTTCGGTTTCTCTTTTTTACACTCCTGCTACCCTGCTCTTTCCCACTCTTAAGTTCATTTCTTTGTCACATCAGTTTGTCAAATGGGGGTGGAAGGGTTGCTTTGCATAGTAAAAACATTTTGCATATACAGCTCCCCTTCAGCTTTGCTTGAGTTGTGTTTGCTTTTATTGTGCCCTTTGTGTTGTGATTTTTGTCCTGAGACCTGCAGGTATACGACGGTATACAAATTTAACAGTCAATAATAATTATTAATAATAATGCATTGAACAATGCATTTAAATTTGTGGTGAAAGAAGAAAGTGACTGGGACAAACAAAGCATCTTCTTCAGAAAGCTGTTTACAAAAGGAGACAGGAATCTGTGCCATTAGTTGAGGGCTGTGGGGTAGGATTTTGGGAACCGCTTCTGACCATGCCAAATCCTCCATTTAAAAATGATATTTCCTTTGCTTTGGCCATAGCTGAGAGCAATTTATTCTGCAGCTGACAAGTACTAGATTCAAGGAAGCAGCTTGTCTGGATTGCCAGAGGGTTTATACAGGCATGAAACACGCACAAAAATTGTAATTAATGCAGGTGCTCTGAAGAATCAAGAAGGCATAGGGGGCAAGAGTGAAGACAAAACTACCCATAATGCCTCCTTCCAGTGAAAGAGAAGCTGTTTTCGAAAATGAGTTTCTGGGTGGAATTGTGAATTTAAGAACAGCCTTTGCTGGATCACTCAAAAAGCCCATCTGGTCCAAGCACCCTGCTCCCATAGTAGCCATCTTTACGCCTGGGAGAAGCCCATGGGCGGAACTTGGGGGCAAGAGCCCTTTCGCCACCACCTGAGATTCCCACCAACTGGTCTTAAGAAGCATACCTGCCTCCGAGAGTGGAGACACGGAGCATGGCCCTCTTCTCCATGAAATTATCTGCTGCTCTTTCAAAGCCACCCAAGGCAGATCAGGATCTACTGGTAGATCTCTGGGTGATTTGCAACAGATGCCCTCCAATTGTCTAGCAGGGGTGTCAACGTGAATAAAATATGGGGGGATGGGACAGGTAAGCCCCATCGTGCCTAATCGATCATACGATGCGCCACATGCACACCACTTGAATGGCAATGCCCGTCACAAGGGAGGGGGCCTGGACGCCTCAAATATTTTATTGGGGGGTGCCAAAGGTACCTTGGCCCCTAGGAGTCGGCTCCTATGTTGTTGAGCCACACCACAGCATGGCCAACAATGAGTTTTCCTAGCTAAATTAGGCTGCTGCAATTAAGCTAGCTAAGACTCTGGTTCAAAAGGATTGTGAGCTGTACAACCAAAACAAAAAGGCCAAGCCGGAGACACAAGCTGAACATTGTCTCCTCAGCGGGTTTGTAAATCTTGGGTTCTAGTAAAAAATAAAACTAGATTTAACAAGCCTAGTCTGACCATCCCTGGGCCTCCACATCATGCAGAGCTAGGACTCAACTAGGCTCATTACCAGTCTAGCTGAGTCTCTGTCTGGTGGCACAATGTTATATCACACATACAATGCATATAAATCACCTTTTCTTTTCCAGTCTAGCTGAGTCCCCAGACTGGTAAAGAAAAAAGGGATTTATATACGCTATATAACATTGTGCCACCAGATGGCGACGTGGAGCCCCGTTTTTCTCTACCTGTTTTCCCTGTTTAATTTTACGACGCTTTAAACTGAAACGCTCCTTTGATGTGTTTAGATCCAGCCCTAGTGGATCCAAGAGTGCCCTCCACCTACCTGCACATAGCAACGAGATGGCTCAGCTGGTCAGAGCGCGGTGCTGATAATGTGAAGGTTGCAGGTTCGATCCCTGCATGGGGAAGCTACATAGTCCCGCATTGCGCGGGGGTGGGGTGGGGGTCAGACTAGATGAATCTCAGAATCCCTTTTCCAACTCTGCGATTTTGTGATTTGAAAACAAGTAGGTGGTATAAAACCACCCCGCCAGATCGGAGCCCTCCCACTGACTCCAGACGCAATTGCGCCCACGCTCTGCACACGCTCAGAAGGAACCTCGTTGTTCTTGGTTCCACCTCGGCTGCTGAAAAAGGTTCCGGGGCTGAGCGCTGCTCTAGGGGGCGGGGAAACAAGGCTCTTTCCAGAAATCGGGGGCTCACCTGTCCGGCATCTGGTCCATCTGTTTCACCTGTGTGTGTTCTCCCTCCCTCCTCCCCCAAGCGCCGTCGAGCCCCTCCAGGAACCCCGGACAGCCAAGCCAAGCCACGGGGCGGCGTGTGAGCTAAGCGGCTTCTCCAGGCCCCGCAAGAACTTGTGGGCAAGGCGGGCTCGGCGCTCCGCCCCCTTCCCACCACCTTCCTTCCTCGGGCGCAGTGGCGCCGCGCTCTCGCCGGACTCCAGACCTGGGAAGAAGGCGGCGGCGGCTCCTCTTGTCGGTGCAGGGCAGGTGAGTGCTGGGGACCCCGCTTTTTGGTCGTGGCTCAGCGGGGAAAGGGACCCGAGAGGGAGAGTGTCGTGCGCGCACCTGCCTCTCCTGCCGTCCAGGTGGGCGCACAAGAGAAGCGCGGTTGTCCGCTCCAAGTCTCTACCTGAGATGGAGCCGAGAGCGGCGCCCCCGATCCCAAGGTCCTTAAGAAAACGCACTTGCCAGGGAGTAAGGCTCGTTGAACAAAGCGAGGCTTCCTTCCGAGTAAACGCGTCTAAGCTTTGCGCTGCTAATCGGCGGATTGTTTTTAGGAACAGAAAGGGACTCTGCTTTTCCTTACGCACACACACATGAAAAAACTCCACTCCTGGTTCCTCGACGCCTTGTTGATTTCAGCAGTATAATTTTTAGGCGGTAGGCGGGCGAGTAGGAGGCATGCTGCTGCTGTTGGTGGTCAGACCATTGGGGACCAGAGATCCTTTGCAAATCCAGATCTCTCTTCTTCAGCTCACCTCTGTTGAAAAGTTCCCCCATTCCACAGCAACCAGGTATCTCCCCAAAAGGGGTTGTTTTGCCAGTGTTACTAAAGTGCCCACTTGGTTTTCAGCATTACGTAGGTAGTTATTGGACCCCTTCAGAACCTGGTGCGGAAAACGTGGGAAGATTCAGAAGAATTGCTTCTGAATGTATGACTTTTGCGTCTGGCTCTCTGGGTTGGGGTTGTTTATTTCTTAAAGATAAAGTCTCAAGCTGTCCTGGCGTTACAGCCCTGGAAAAAGTATAGGCTTGGTCAGTTGTCAAAGTGGGTCCATTACAAGGGCTTGAAATAGATCATTGTATTATTTATGAAAGGCTGCCAAACAGGAGCCATGTTTGCTTTTGCTTATAAAATACTCGGAAATGGAATTTGCAGGTGAAATTGCCAAGCTCTTGGGAGACTGGAGGATTTTCCTGGAGGTTTTGGGGAGGTTTGCTTCTGGAGGTGGATCTGTATATGGAAACATGCTTCCTTTGAGCCGGCAAGTTTAATGATTACCTGTTTATAGTAGCTGTAATTATGTAGCACATTCTTTGTCTCTCTTTCCTGCTTCTTCTCAGTGTGCTTTCTTGAAAATAAGTTCCATTGGACTTTTTTTATTTTCATTATTTCTCTATACTGCATATATATTGCTTGATAATGACTTTCAGAGCTTTGTATATAATAGTTTTTTGCTCCATATTCTTCTATATATTCCAATCAATCAAGTCCTAGAGTTGTTTTTCCCCCTTTGTGAAGTTATTATCTTACTTGTAAGAAAGGTGACCCTATATTGAAAATAGGGGACTATAAATACTAGACCCTGAATGGGAGGGATGCATAATAATTGCAGAGCCAAACGAATAGATGGAAAGAAGGTGTATCGTCTGTTGTAAGTAAGAGCACCTGTTTCAGACTAGGGTCAGGTTGGCTGCAGCTGCAGCCTAATGCTTTAAAAACTAAGGCTTAAATAGTGGACAGAACATCTCTGATTGAAATGCTGTGGACAACAGTCACTTTGTGGTGAGTTTTCCCTGGGGGAAGGTGAGGGGCAGTCAGGCCAGCAGGCAATCTAATACACAGAATTGCAAATTTCGCATCTGGAAGAGGAAGGGAAGCAAACCTCATACTTCTCAATAGCCTGGAGGGAGTTATTTTAAAAAAGGTTGGGGGGGGATCAGGTGTTTGGCAAAAGGATGCTCGTCTGCAGCAACTGGATTTGTTTCAGGTACGCTGATGTTTTCTGCAAGAAGCACATTAAATAGCGAGGTGCCCATCTTCAGAAACTTGGAGATATGCTGCAATCCCATCCCCACTTACCTGGGAGTAAACCCCATTGGACTCAGAAGAACTTGCTGCTGGGTAGACATGTACCAGATTGCACTGAGAGCTGCTCAGAAAAGTGTACATGCTTATATAAGACAAGCTGCCTATAAAGTTATATCTAACCGAAACAGTGTGTACGCGAAGTATTTAGCGTTGTAAAAGATCTTATCAAATTCTCCATTTTACTTTTATCCGCATTCCAACACCACCCCAATCAGTCTCTGACCTCCATTTTCTAGGCACTGTGCAAAACTTGTTCTAATAAGCTTGATAGCCCTAGTCACCGAAAAGAAGAAAAGTAAATTAGTTCTAGGGCTGTGACGTTCTGCTGGCATTTGAATGACTTGGATGTTTGTAATGATTTGGTACTAGTTTCTCTCTCCCATTGAAGCGTGCCGGATTCAATAGATGTAATTGCATATACATATTTTATTGAGCTTTATGCCTGTCCTTGAACAGGAATATTCATTTCATTAATTAAGGATGATGCACTAGTGTATTACTGTTGTTATTAGGGCTGCCATCCAACTGGATAAATCTTAATGAATTAAACAAATCAGATTTAATTAAGAGTGCGGTCCTACCTCAGGGCCCGAAATGTTGATGGCTATAGGATGATGGTACGAATGCCCTGTAGATGTGTCTCTGCTAGCCATGGGGTGGTGGTTAGGATACCTCTCTGCTGGGACATGAGAACACTGCTCCCCCCAGGCAAGGGGTGTGTGTGGCTTTTCTGCAGCAGAGACACCCTCCCACTATGCCGGGGTAGGCAACATAAGGCCCATAGGCCACAAGCAGCCCACAGGGGCCGTTTAAATGGCCCATGAGCCGCCCCTGAACCAAGCTTGGCAAGTCCCCGCGTGCGGAACTAAACTGGTGCAGCGCGGCATGGGGACTCGCTTCTGCGGTGCCGGAAATTGCGTCTGCGCATGCTCAGATGCCAAAAATCGCATCTGTGCAGACGCCAGAAATCGCGGCTGCACGCACTCATGTGCACGCGCGATCTGGCCCACAGAGGGATCTCCACTGGAGTGAACTGGCCCAGGCGAGGCAAACCTTGCCGACCGCTGCACTATGCCCAAAGAGATGGAAAACTATGGTTGGCAGTTCTCCTACCAAATGGTAGCATATAGTCCCCAAATGGGGTGTTTCAGGGGTAGGGCACCAGTGGTTTGGGGTCCATTGTATCCAGAGCTCCATGGGTCTTTCAGGGGGTCCAGTCATTGAACCCCTCAGCTACACCAGCCAGGAACTGGTGAAGTTGAAGACAGGACATCAACCACCCCCTTTCCACCTCAACTGACACAAGGTGGCTGGGCTTAGGATGTGGCAGCGGTTCTGTTGCACCACTCCCCACCCTTAGGATTGCTCTGCCCATCTGAATTCATTTGCATATGGTTTTAAAATGTAGTTTTTAAGGAGGAAATATGCATGCTTTGTTTTTAGACGGTAGATGTTGCAGCAGGTGTCATCTGTTTGGTTGAACTACATGTTACCTTAAATGTGTTGCTTGCTCTCTGCTGTTGTTGTCATGGTTGGTTAATACTGAGCACATAGTTCTGCCCCTCCTCATTTTATCCTTGCAACAACAACCCTCTGAGGTAGCTTAGGTTGAGGGACAGCGACTGGCCCCTAGTCACCCTGTGGGTTTCATGGCTGATTTGAAATCTGGTCTCCCAGGTCCTAGTCCAGCACTCTAATCGGACCACACTGTCCTGCAGTTTAATTTTTCTCTTGCAAACTGGGAAGAGCACAGGCTGCTCATGAACTTGAGTTGAGGGGAAGATCTCCGTATCCTGATCTGTACCTTGATATGTTGTGAGGCTTGCCATGAAACTATACATGTCCAGATGGACCCCAAGAAAATCTCTCTTGTCATAGCAGTATCTGCTTTATCTTCTCTCCTAAGCTCACTACACTTTTAAGTGATTGCTGATCCATGGCCATTTGATGTACCTTTGGGGACAATCAATTTGCTGATGAAGAATTATCATTGAAACAGTTCATTGTCCTGGAAGAACTGTTCTGTCTGCTGCTGTGCTTGGAGCACCCTATTGCTACGTTTGGAGCACTCATCACCTCACATTTGTAGGAAATGGACTTCGGAAAGGCATTCTGCCTCCATTTCAGTGATCTTTAACAGTGACTTACTACACCTACCATTCCTGTTCATAGAACATTAATTTGATGCTTATTAGTTTGTGACTCCATGCACATATTATATGTCTTCTGTTTATTAATTTTGAAATAGCATAGTGTTATAAGGGACGCAGGTGGCGGTGTGGGTTAAACCACAGAGCCTAGGACTTGCCAATCAGAAGGTTGGCGGTTTGAATCCCCGCGACGTGGTGAGCTCCCGTTGCTCTGTCCCTGCTCCTCCCCACCTAGCAGTTCAAAAGCATGTCAAAGTGCAAGTAAATAAATAGGTACCGCTCTGGCGGGAAGGTAAATGGTGTTTCCGTGCGCTGCTCTAGTTCGCCAGAAGCAGCTTAGTCATGCTGGCCACATGACCCGGAAGCTGTACGCTGGCTCCCTTGGCCAATAAAGGGAGATGAGCACCGCAACCCCAGGGTCGGTCATGACTGGACCTAATGGTCAGGGGTCCCTTTACCTTTATAGTGTTATAAAAATATTGGCAGTATATTATCAGCCAACATGTTGCTCGTTGTTGTTCAGAGTGTTCTGTTTGCAACACGGGATTTTCTTTGTTGTATTATCTTCCTTCCTAGCAGTTATAATCAATACTTTTCTGGCTGAAATAGTAAAAAGGAATGTTACAGACAAGGATTCTAATGTTTTCCTATGCTTCTACGGGTGCATCAACTTAAATATCTGGCTTGCAATTAAAAAAAAATGAACTGAGTTCAGAAGCTAAACAACTTTACTGTCATATGTGATGGGTTCTTAGGAGAAAAGATGGCTATGCCCTCTCACCCCTTGATAGCGCAATCTGCTAAAGAGGTATATACAGACAACATTCCTCCTAGTGGACAGTTTTGATGGATTGACGCTGACTCTGTAGCGCAACAATCTGAAACCATTAGAATCAGTGGTGCTTGTAGTTTGGCTAATCTGAAGGGTCATCTCATAGGTACTGAGATACCAAAAGACCAAAAATAAAGAAATCTTTATATATGCTACAACTGCAACTAGAATGGTTTTTGCCCAGAGATGGAAAGAAGTTGTAGTACCAACCAAGGAAGAGTGGCTAATTAAATTAATGGATTATGCCAAAATGGCAAAGTTAACTGGTGTAATAAGAAGAAGAAATTATTAAAGATTGGGGGAAATTTGTGGAATATTTGAAAAGCTCCTGTATGCAAATAAGCTCATTAGCAAGGTTAACGTAAAACAAGCAGTTAAACATATTACTAAGAGAAACTAAAGGATAACTTGAAGATGGAGTAATGTGGAAAATGCAGTATGAAAATTAAAATTAAAAAGGAACCACAAAAGGGGGGGTCAAATATATGTGTATTTTTATAATTAGTGTGTCTGTAAATGTTTGAAAAACCGGAAAATAAAATTTTAGGAAGGTTCAGCTCAATAGCCTATAGAAAGAGATAAGCAGCAAAAGTATATGAGCATCTGTTGTTGTTGCTTTGAGCAACTGGAAAAAACTGCAAGGGGCTGATTGGTCTTGAGTTTGCACAAAGCTCTGTGGGGTCTGTCCCCACAGTCAGCTGATCAATGTGGGGCCCCAGA